ACATCACTTCCGCATTCACCTGTCAGTCATCTGGCTGCTATAGCCAGAGAAAAGCTGATCCCTGCTTCATCAGCTTCTTTTGGGGTCCTAGAGACCCCTAATGTCTCCATAAAGAGGACCTGTCAGTGTGCCTTTGCTATTATATAGGGGGATTGTTATCCCCCTATATAATAGCAACAACAAGAGCAAAAAAAATATATAAAAAAGTAAAATAAAAGTCACCCCCACGTTTACGCGCCTATAAACATAAGTACGCGTCCGGTGCCCCAGCGCGCAAAAATTACAATTGCGCTACACATGTTACATATCGCCGCGAACGTCGCAGTGAGAGCAATCATTTTAGGGCCATCAATCACTGATAACACTAAAGATGAGTGGTAACAGCTTTTAAAGTGTCGCCTATGGCCAATTTTGGGTATTATCGTTTTTTGAGGTTTTGGAAGCGCAGACAATTTTAAGGCTTGACATGTTTGGTGCCTTTACCCGACGTGACCCCATCTTTTATATATTTTACCAAAAAATTGGGTAAACATTGGTAAGACAATTAGCTGGAACATGGCAATCACCATTTTACCCGCTGACCTGGGCCTGTACTGGTGTATAGGTCTATTGGATACTGGTGTACAGGTCTATTACTCACCAAAACTTCAGTTTAATAGCAGCGCCCATATGCCTAGCAGACATGTTTTCTTAAAATGTATCCCCCCAATTACAAAAGCAAGCTGACCTCCGATATCTTATATCTATATAAAGTGTACAGTAGCATAATGTTTCCTGGAGCAGCCACATATTTCACTTAAAGGAGTTGAGGGGAGAGGCCATGAACGTCACCAGTACAGATGTAACTCTGCCATACAAGTCCACAATCATGTCGCACATTACCTTTGTGCTCTTAGAAATGAGGGGAGGAGAAGGACTCCCAGGTGCCACAGCCACTCCCTGCATGCGTCACTCAGGTGTACAGAGACGGCGGCTATGACCACCCTGGTGAGCCGCCCGGCGCCATCTTGTCACAGAGCCGCGCCTCACCTCTACAGGTAGAGCGGGAAGAGGAACTCCATTATAGAACGTCCCGCACACTACAATACAACAAGCCCCGACTATAATCTACAAAGTCCACTTCATCCTCCTCACCGACAATGTATACACCGAGCCCCGACTATAATCTACAATGCCCATACACCGAGCTCCGACTAACAGACCATTTCATCCTGCTTACCTACAATGTATATACTGAGCCCCGATCCTAACTACAATGTATACACCGAGTCCCAAATATTATCTACGATGTATAGATACTGAGCCCCAAACACCGACCCCTCATCCCACCAATGAATACGCTGAGCCCCGAAAATTACAGACCACTCCATCCTGCTCACCTACAATGTATATACTGAGCCCCGATCAACTACAATGTATATACCGGAAACCCACTTGTAACAATATTGTAATAAAAGCAGATTGATGGCTTCACATGGCAGAGTATGACCCACAGGTGACCCCACGTTACAGAATACCGATGTGAGCCCCTTGTATCTGTATTACAGGTATCCGCAGTATGAAGTCCCCACATTAACTTGCATACAGGTGACCGCAGTAGGGTGACCCCACATTAGAGGACCCATATAGCCCTCCGGAACCGCGGGATATAACGGACTAGATGAGCCGTGACCTCACAGCAGGTTATAGCCTTATCACACGGAAAGCTGTTAGCTTTGTGATACGGGCAGACATAAATCCTCTTATCACCCGATAACGTATCTCTGATCGGAGAAACAATGAGCAATCACCTAAACAGCCGCCCTACAAACGGCAATTGTACTACACGGGCAGCCTGCGGAGGACTACAAGTGCCAGCATGACCGCCTAGTCTCCGAGGGGGTGAGGAGGGGGGGGGGCTCTACGTTTTCCAGTTTTGGCGATCAATTGATCCCAGGATCCGATAGATCAGAACCCGAGCCTGGCCGGTGCGATGTATCGCCAGCGATCCGAGCCAAGTCGGGCCCCTTGCGGACACTCTGCTGCTACAAATCGCTGGGCATACTGACACTTGTGGTTAGATCACCTAGAGACATGATCTGTCCAGCCCCATGCAGCCTTCACAACCCTAGTCCGGACAGAGCAATCCGAAGCAAGCTCTGTACAAAGACCACGCTAGGAGTTGTAATTCCATAAACTAATAAATCCCATCAGAAGAACGAATATTTAAAGGGTTTTCCTCCATTGATGAGCAAAAAAGTCCAGGAGTGACCCCCACAGGTGGGTACCCGAGGTCTGGGAACACTTACTTTGGCTCCGAGCTTGTTCGATGACGACCAGGCCGATGAGGACAGCGGCCAGGCTGAGGATGGTGGAGGTCTTCATGGTTGATTCGTCTGATCTGATGCTACTGTACGTTCAGCACTTTTCACCTTCCTCTGCCTCCTCCCCCCGAACCAGGTCAGACCGGTCGGACGGGTCCCTCCCTGATTCACAAACAAGGACGAAACTCGTGCTCTGCTTTCACCTGGCTACTGAGCACCAACCCCCCTCCACCGAAACCAGCGCCGTACACCGTGTGTATGGAGAGCAGCGCAACGATACGACTCCCGACTCACTCACAGACCCTCCGCTAATCTCAACACCGTCCTCAGTGCTTCCCAGCTGGATGTTTAGTATGGACCTCTTCTTGTGCTTCCCCGGGAGTTATATACACGGCTACAGTGACGTCACTCATTACCCAGCGAAACTCGGTGACTCACCTGGGGCAGGAAGGTGGGCAGTCACCTGGTGGTGATGTCATGACCCCGCCCACCGAGAGGGAAACTGACTGCAGGGCTGACACTCACTTGGTTCAGTTTCTGCATTGTATAATTGTGAAGTCCCAGGAAGTCCAAAGCTGATGATCATACATGGAGTTTCTGGTTGTGGATTCTCTCCATACACATACAATGGGCTGTATATAAATGAACTATGGAGCGTGATAAATATTCATTAGAATTGTCTAGTTATTATTTGATGGTCCATTGTTATTATTATTATACAGGATTTATATAGCGCCAACAGTTTGCTCAGAGCTTTACAATATACTGAGGACATTACAATACAAATCAGAGGGGCCTGCCCCTGAGAGCTTACAATCTAAAAGGGAGGGGCAAGTGATACAAGAGATGGTGTGGGGTAAGCAACCCTGGCAGGGGGGTGCAGCCCGAACCCGGGTGACACCATTGGAGGGGTGACACCAAAATGACTGACAGTTACCCCCCTCTGAAAAGTCGTGCACTCAGTCAAGGACCGAGAGCCCGACATTTGTTCGAGAAAGGAAGGGACCCTGCAGACCATACTTTACCCCGCCGGGTGACGTACGCGATGACGTCACTGCGGGGTATCACCTGGTATTTGCACCGAGTGTCACCCCGCCTCTGGATGCCTCTGAACCCTGGCACTCCAGCTGTTATGGAACTACAAGTCCCATGAGACATTGCAAGACTCTGACAGACATCAGCATGACTCCCAGAGGCATGATGGGACTTGTACTTTCACCACACCTAGCCCTGGGGGCATCTAGGTTGTTGTTTTTTTTTTACTAGAAATATGTGGAAATCAATGGAAGAATTATGAGTATTCTTGCTGTTTTAGCAAGTTTCTAAGGCCTTGTTCAACCAAAAGCGTGTGCGTTCCAGAGCGGTAGCTGCTAGAACGCACCACGATCGCCAAGAAACTTCTCCCCGTGTTTTGGGGCGTGGCGGTGCATTGAATTCAATGGCACCGCTTCCACCCCCCGCCCACAGTGCGATTGAATTCCGTTCCACTGCAAACGCAAAAAATAGGGCTTGCTGGCAAAGTTTTGCCACGCGATCGATCGCACTTTGGGCGGGGGGAGGAGGGGCGTTCAAGCGGTGCCATTGAATTCAATACACCGCCACGCCCCCTCCTGCCCCAAAACGCGGGGAGAACTTTCTTAGCGATCGCGGTGCGTTCCAGCAGCTACCGCTCTGGAACGCACACGCTTTCGGTGTGAACAAGCCCTTAAAGAAAAACTCCGGGCAGGAAGTTTATTAACCCTTGCACTAGGGCTACCCCTGCACTGCAAGGTTTAAGTGGTCATTTTTGTCTAGATGCTAATAAGAAAGTTATTCTCGCCCCATCCTCACAATTGGTTTGCTCTTAGACTAGTCTCTGGTGCCTCTCTTCCCCTCTGCTGTAGTGGTCTAGGAATCCACGAGTCACCATGTCCAATGCAGTGTATAGGACAGTGGTGGCGAACCTATGGCATACGAGCCCAGGTCCAGTGTTGTGTGGAATGGGTGGTGTGCAGACGCAGTAACGCTATTTGGAGAGCTTGATACTGCTCTTAGATGGCCGCGCAGGCCCACTGAAGGGAGTTGCAGAACTCGACAGGTATTGTGAAGCCGTGCAGGCACACTGATGGGAACTGGAAACCTCAACGAGGATTATGACACTGCCATGGCTGGCGCACGCGCACTAGCGGCATCTTGTCCAAATCTGCTACTGGCATTCAGCAGACGTAACGTCACAAGTTGCAGATCTCCACGAGTTGGAGATTTCAGTAGAACACTGGGCAGCGGTCGCCCTCTAATCAGGCATATTAGACAGCCGCTCGCTGGGGCCTCTCAGGCCATCCAATTAGAGAGCCGCATCTGCCCTTGAGACTCTCTGGACCCCGGTGAGACATGTACAGCCCCCCTGAGAGCCACACAGCCCCCCACGAGAGCCACACAGCACTCCTGAGAGCCCATACAGACTATCTGAGAGCCCGCAGAGCCCACCTGAGAGCACTTATAGACCACCTGAGAGCTGCACAGCTCCCCCTGAGAGCTCACACAGCGCCCCTGAGAGCCCGTACAGACCACCTGAGAGCCGCACAATCCCTCTGAGAGCCCGAACAGACCACCTGAGAGCCAATAAAGACCACCTGAGAGCTTGCAGAGCCCACCTGAGAGCACTTATAAACCCCCTGAGATCCCCACAGTGCCCCTTGAGAGCCACACAGCCTCCCTGAGAGCCCACACAGTGCCCCTTAGAGCCTTACAGACCACCTGAGAGCCCATATAGACCACCTGAGAGCCGGCAGAGGCCACCTGATAGATTATCTAGAAGTATATGTTTGTAGATTGTCATTACTAAACATTTCTAAAGGGGTGTTTGTTGTTACTTTAAAGATATGGGTAAAAGTCTGCTTTAAAGTGGTTGTAACCCCCCAAAAAAATGTAAACCTTCTTAAAGCAGACCTTCACTCTAAAACAATACTGCAAACCCCCTTCACTGTTTAAAAAGTTTTAATTATTATACAGGATTTATATAGCGCCAACAGTTTGCACAGCGCTTTACAACATATGGGGAGCCAGTACAATTACAATATAATACCATAGAAAAGGATTATAAGGATTCTGTTCATGAGAAATACCCCCCCCCACCAGTCTTGCCTAAGCGAGAATGACGTGCCCTTTTCCCACAGCCTCCTGGTATATCCTATATATGTATATACTGTATATCCAAAGAGGCTTCAGCAGAAGGGACACAAAGTGGCCGGTGGGTGGAGGTGCACATATCATCGGGGGGCTGGCTACCTGAAACCAGAAGAAGCAGCCAGCTCCCGATGATTAAGGACCAATATGGTGGTGCGGGACCTAGCTCTGGATTTGTCGGACAGGTGAGTATGTTAATTGAGAACAATGCTGCACAAAAGCAGGGATCCCAACCTGAAAGAAGCACTTTCAGGAAGGTGTCCCTCTCATTTCCGGGAGGTGCTCTCTCCCCCCCCCCCCCCCCCCCCCCCCGGGGGGCGGGGGCCGGCGCG